CCTGTTGAGACCCCCCGGCGTCTACGTGGGCACCGTCCCCGCCGGCGGCGTGAGCAGCTTGGGCACCCGAGTGTCCCGCAGAGCCCTGGGCATCAGCAGCGTCTTCCTCCAGGGCCTGCGCAGCTCCTCCGCCGCCGTGCCCCTGGCCCCGGGGCTGGAGAAGGGCAGGGCTCTCTCCTACGAGAGCCTGAACGGCTGCTTGGTGGAGTACATCGAGAAGGTGCGAGCTCTCGAGCAGGTCAACCAGGAGCTGGAAGAGCACATCAGAGTCTACCTGGACAAGAAAGCGGCCAGCGTGGGCAGCTGGGGAGTGCTGCGGGAGAACTGGGAGGCAATTTACCATCAGGTGAGCGCCGGAGCGCTGTCGGCAGTGGGAGGGAGGGGGGGAGCTTCAGGAGTCATTAGCAACCCTGAGCAGCGAGGGTTGATGCTGAAGATGAATGCCGCCTGATTTCAAGGCGCGGTGCCCTAGGCGGAGGGGTTTAAATCTGTCTTCGTGATAATTAGCATTATCATTTCACACTGCGTTGTGGAAAATGCCTGTTAAGCAGGAGAATTGCCTCAGGCATCCTGCGCTTGGGGGTGACTGAAATGCACCCCAAGGCGCGATAGTCTGGGCTGATTAAAATGGGTGGGTTTTTGTCTTTTTCTTTTTTTATTAGCTGTGGTTATTACACTGAGCATCAAAACTATTAAAAGAAAACTGCTAGGACTGAATTAGTTTACCCCTCAACATGATATCATTACAAGCATGTTGGGTTTTTTTTTAATTAACAATTCAGATTTTTACTTTATTCCCTTGTTTGCTTAATCACATTTTCAAAAGCTCTATTTATTTAAAAATATTAATTACATGGCTACAAATGAGTGACTCCTTTCCTTCCCTTTGTCACCGCCCCACCATCCCTTACTCCCACCATCTTCATATGGCACAGGCTGCGGCTTCCCCGGGAAAGCATTTATTGTGGGGATGCAAAATGATGTTTGCTATGACTTCATGGTCAAGAATCAGTTCCTTTTGCTGACCAGTAAGACTTTGCAGGCTGACGTGCTGCTTGTAGCAAACACAGAGCTCTGTCCCCCAAGGTCTCAGTGCACCTTGCGAGTCCTGGCTTCTCGACTCCCAGCCAGCGCGAGCGGGCAGGACCCCAAAGAGCTGGAGCCCGGTGTCTTGCAAATCTCTTCCTGGCAGTGCTTGTGCAGGCACAGAAAATGCTGTCGGTGGGTCTTCAGAAAGCCTGAAAGACAACTTTAAGTTCCTGGGGACAACTGTGTGTTTTACCTTGGGATGGCCAGAGTTTTACTCTGGCATAGGAAAGAGAGTGCATTTTTATATTGCGCTGATTTTTAGGGCAGGTCTTCACCCAGAATGCTACAAATGCCATCTGAACCCTGAATGTGGCAGCATAAGCTGTTGTACAAAGATCGGGTCAGCAGAAATGCCCAGTTAAGCACTGACTTTTAAAGTTGTTATCTTTTTGTATTGGTAAATGACATCGCTGCCACTAATCCTATAAAGCTTCCTGAAGGGACTGGCTGCTGAAGGGAATGGGTTCTCTGAATCTGGGGTGCTTACAAAACGCCACACCCTCGAACCTATCACCTCATTGAGGCAGATGGGGACTTTGATGTGCGATACAGTGTTAATGCTTTTCAGCCACCATCCTGTGTTTTCCAGATGAGTATCCCATTTTGCAGTTGTAGACCTCACCTGCAAAATCTACTAGGGCCTATGGTCAAGACCAAAAAAGTAGGACCATAGGTACTTTAGGAAGGACTGTTTGATTCTTCTTTATATGAAATCCCAACACTAGAGCAGGTGAACCTACTCATGTAATAATTTTTCATCCAAATTTCTTTCCTTTTAAGCTTTCTTTATATTGTCATCCTGCCACCTTGCCTCCCTTTCTTATGAGTAAATGAGAGCAGCTCGTAATGAAATCTAGCTTGAATATTGGGCTCTTCCTATATAAAATCAGAAAAATAAAGCTATGTAGTAATACCATTTGCAAGTATTATAGAAAATAAGAGAAAAAGATTAGCATCATCCGTATCTGTTTAACCATTAAAACACAACAGAGAATACATAAAGTTTTTTGAATTACTTCAATTAAATCAATAAAAGAGGCATCACTTGGTGAGTTTTCACTTTCTCAGATATAATCTGAGCTGTTATGTACAATTCTGACTAATAGGTTTCTTCGCTTTTATTATATTAAGCATCTGACCAAAAATGGAAGTAGGACCTCATCCAGCCCAAACACCAATTAACTCATTCATCCTGGGGTTAACTGGCAAAAGTATGCCAGTATCAACACCGAAAGTGTCACACATTAAAATAACATCAAAATCAGTTGCCGCAGAAACGGCCACAACCACACAAAGTCAATACCCTCCTGCCATGACATGTCACAGTAGGAAAAGTAAAAGGTGTTCAGGAGTCAGCTGTAACAGAAATGAGAGATACCTGGCAGATACATTTCTAGATGTAATTTTTGTAAATATATTCAGATTTTCTATAGATGTCCACATCCACCTCCATGTGACATAGCCTTTTTTCAGCCCCCTGCAAAATCTGAGGATTCATTTTGATTTCTGGCCAGCCCCGTGAGTTCAGCCGGGAGGGATGCCTGGCAACTATAAACCCCTTGGTGCCCTTCGTATGAAGCAGCTGTGAAAGTTTTGGGGTGGAAAGCCACCTGAGCAGCCACTTGGTTTAACCCAAATGCTGACAATAGGAACAGATTTTCAACAAGCAGCAGCAAAGAAGAATACACAATGCAGGGGGGGTGTCTAGACAGGAGCCCCTTCCTCCTGCCCTGCTAGTGAGAAGGCAAGGATATGGCCGTGGAGCAGTCGCAGACTCTCTTGGTCCCAAAATCAGAAATGTGATGGGCCCATCTCTGCAGGGGGTAGGAGAGACCCCAGCAGACCAGAGATCCTGTTGCCCTCCTGCCCTTCCAGGGATGTGCTCTGGCATCCCACATTTCGGGCACATGTCCTCCAATAACAACTGGGTGCCAGCATTTCTCCCAAACACAGAGCTAGGGGAAAAAATGCGGCAACGAGTGACTTGGAGGGGACAAGTGGAGGGTCCCTCAGGGGAAAAAACCACTCATGTTTCATTGCAATTGTCAGAGCTATTACTGCAGCAGGGGATCACTGACAGGAGCTGAATGATGGGAAGCTGCTATCCAGCTCACAGCATTAATTATCCGCCTGGGCAGCTGGTTTTTAGCAGAGCAGGTGGACACACACTAATTGGGACAGGCACAAAATGGGAGGATTTTTGCAGGAAATGAGGGAAATGAGAAATCCTTGCAGAAAGGAACTCATATGACAGAAATACAAATTCATCTCATTTTACCCTGGGCATATTCCTTTTCTCCAGGCGTCATCCTGGTCTTCTTGTGGAAAATTCTCTCTCTAATCAGTGTGTCCCTTCTGCAGAACAGGAGGTTGTGTGTAATGGCAATTCCTTCCCACGGAGCAGGGCAGCACCTGGGAAAAGTGGACACTTGAAATAATCTCAGCGAGTTTATGGAGAGGAGAGGGTAGCTCAGCCTCCATGACCGTTCAATTACAGCTGCGTGGGAGACACAGAGATTTATTTTGTCTATGAGATGGCACGTAGCATGGTTCAGATCACAGGAGTAAACACAAAAGCAGAAGAAGGAATCAATGTCCTGGACCAATTTTATCACTGCTGTGACTCCTGTGCATGGTTGGGAGCATTTGAAAGATTACCAGAGTTTTTCTATAGAGATACTTTTATTTGCACCTGGCCTTACCATCAGCATTTACTCAGTGTTAATATTAAGCCTGGAGAATATACAGGACTGCCAGCCCAAGGAATCGCCGCATTTGGACTCACACACAGTAATTTATTTGCTGCGGGGCGAGGAGAGCTGCTGAGTATTATCTGTAACACATTCTAATGCAACACAGTGCATGATTAGTGTCTATAAATTGGTGAAATAGCATTCTGCCACTGATCTGAGGGCACAACAAACTCCCACAAAACGGCACAGAGCTTGGTCAACCGCCATACAGAGAGGATGGCAATAAATTGGTTTTAATTATGTCCTCTCAGCCATCTCTAACAGCGTAACCTTGGACTACCTTCACATACAGCTGTGAGGTGGGGGGTGAGGTTTTCTCCTTGTGCTTAGGCAACATTACAGTTTTTACAGATCGTTTCTTTAGGAGGTATCTCCTGCTTTGAGAACCAGGCATTTTTTGATGCAGTCCTGTTTAGTTGTAGACTATTCAATGTATAAAAGAAGTTATGTTTTCTTGGATGCAGCAGCAATCAGCAAAGGACCCACCAATCTTCCCAGCCTTTCTCCAGGTATTACCTTTCCCAAGGCGATGCAACAAATGCCACTCTTGCTGCCTTTGGGTTTTCCTCCTTCAGGCTCTAAGAAGGGGTTCAATACGGAAAGCATGACCGGAAGTGTTACGAATTTACCGCTTGGCATCTGAGCAGCAGGCACTGGGTTGCATGATTTTAGCCTGATTTAGCTGTGAATTACAGTGTGTTGGAGGCAATGGGCTGATATCAACCATTTCTTTCTGTGTGCGGAAGGAAAGACTAGACCAGCATCTTCTGATCTTTCTCCACAGAGGCATCATTTGCTTTAACTGAAGTGAACTTAAAAGCCAGATAATTTTCCATTACATGAATAATTAAACCATGAGATTCGTTATCACAGGCCACACCTGAGGCCATGAATTCAGCAGCGTTCAGAAAGGGATTAGGCATTTGCAAGAATAGCAAAAGTATACAATGCTATGAATAAAGCATAGCTAAGCTGAAAGGCGTAGTAAATCTTGCAATTCCAGACTTGGTCAGATCTCTATTAAAAATCAAAAGTTGCCAGCCACCAGGGGTAAGTTCTCCCTGTAAGTGTTTGTACGACATCACCCTTTATCAAGGCTGGAGTCTGCAAACTCCCTTGAAGCAGCTGGTTTTCCTTGTTTCCAGTCATAACCCAGTAAATGGGCCAGTATGTTGATGCAGATTTTGATAAGGTTTTTTTTTTGCTAAAAATTAAAATTGTGTTTTCATGTCCATAAAATTACAGTGAAATCAAAGAAAATTTTTGCTGCTTTCTACTTAAGATGATTTATACCCCAAATATTCAGTGTTAATTCAAGAGCTGAAAAAAAAATCATGTTCAAAAGGTGTATGTGCATCACAGATGCAAGTGTTGAAAGACAATATGTGACTTAAAGGAGCTATTATTAGTAATAATATTTGCATTATTATAACGCTTCCCATCTTGGCAGTTTAAGTGCCACATGAGCATCAGTGAATTAAGCCTTCCCGAAACGCTGAGAGGCAGGACAGCGTTGCCTTCTGCTTCACAAGTGGAGGAGGCAACATCCAAGTGCTTGCAGCACTGCGAGCCCTCTTATTTCCAGTAGACACAAAGAATGGTGTTTCCTAAACTGCTGCATCATGTGTTTTAGTACATGTGTCAGCAAAGTGGCTACAAATCCATCTCACTAATGCTGTGTGTTTGCATCTAGCTGTTGATTATTAGGAGAATTAAATCAAACAAAAGAGCCACTAGATGGAAGTCTTACATCTCTTCTTCTGAAGCCTAGGAAAGGGCTTTCACAGCTCATGCAAATCAGAGAGAATTTTTCAGGAAACCTAGTTTCTACATAGAAACTACACGTCATTATTTATCCTTCAGGTTCACTGTCGGATTTAAACCATACACAGCTGATTTCCAGGAGGGCTGAAAGGCTAATGCCTGCTGGTTCCCACTACAACGCTCATCCCTGAAGCCTTCCAAACATTAGAATTTTTTATACCATTTTTACTTACAGGGCACAGTTCAGGTTTGTCTGCAGTTTTGGAAAGCCCTGCACTTTCTCACTGAACATTTGGCATTAGCCTCTGGTCTATGAAGAGGGGAGTCAGGTATTGACCGAGTCCTCAGGAGTATGGTACCAGGGTTCTGGTAAAGACATCCACTGTGGGGCAGGTAAGAAGTCACCTCAAATGCCTCAATAAAACCACAAGATTACTACTGAAAAGCACTTTTTAAAAAGTTTGTCTCCATAGAGAGGCAGAAATCAGCAAATCACCAGCTATTCCCTGCTTCTGCTTTTGTTGCAGCCCAAAAGCTGTTTTACACTGGATTCAGCCTCTAAACTTAGCCATTAACATCCCTCTGAGTGCCACTGTGCAGCTCACAGGATTTAATGTTACTTTTGCTCATGGGATGTTCCCAGTTCCCTCAAAGACATTCATTTTCATCAGACTTTAGGTCAGATATTGTAACTGCGAGGGCTTGCTGCCGGAGGCAAATGCACTTGTTTTGACAGGGCAGGGCGAATCACGAGGCAGCACTTCTGCTCCCTGATTAGAGTCAGGAAAAAAATAAAAGCTTCTCTGACGATCCATACATGTATGAGTTGGCAGGAAGACAAAATGCAATAATTTCTGTAGGAAAAAAGAAATTAAAAAAAGAAGGGGAGAAAAAAGAAGAAGGAAAAAGAAAAGAGAAAAGAGAAGAGAAGAGAAGAGAAGAAAAGAAAAGAAAAGAAAAGAAAAGAAAAGAAAAGAAAAGAAAAGAAAAGAAAAGAAAAGAAAAGAAAGAAAAGAGAAGAAAAGAGAAGAAAAGAAAAGAGAAGAAAAAGAAAAGAAAAGAAAAGAAAAGAAAAGAAAAGAAAAGAAAAGAAAAGAAAAGAAAAGAAAAGAAAAGAAAAGAAAAGAAAAGAAAAGAAAAGAAAAGAAAAGAAAAGAAAAGAAAAGAAAAGAAAAGAAAAGAAGAAAAGAGAAAAAAGAAAAGAAAAGAGAAGAAAAGAGAAGAAAAGAAAAGAGAAGAAAAAGAAAAGAAAAGAAAAGAAAAGAAAAGAAAAGAAAAGAAAAGAAAAGAAAAGAAAAGAAAAGAAAAGAAAAGAAAAGAAAAGAAAAGAAAAGAAAAGAAAAGAAAAAGAAAAAGACAACGACAATTTCAATGAGGCCAAGAGTGAATTTTCTAAATGTTAGGAGGAAAAAAAATTCAGAGCTTGGGTCAAAGAACTGCCTCTACCTCCATGCTGCTGCCATGTAAAAACTAAGTGTCTTTTCTCCATCTTTCAGGAGAAACTCAGGTCCTGCAAGGGGACCTGAGGATGGCACAGCACAAGTCCTGGCTCTGCCCAGCCGCTCTGAAATGCTGCAGAAGGGACGACCTGAGGGCTGGGGAGTTAGGCCAGTGCTGGTAAAGCAAGGTTGCAAAGCAGCAGGGAGAAGGAAACAAGGGGTTGAATGATGAAGAAGAGACAGTTCTGTGTGCAGGAGAGCACATAAAGGTCTTCTGTACTTGTGTGCTGCACAGGGCGGCTGGCTGGTGTGCCATGAGATACCACTCTTTGCCCACACCTGTGGCTTTTGTAACATCTCTGACACCTGTGTGTTCGCTGTGCTCTCTAATTTTCTCATGCCTAAACTGGGGCTTTTTTGCCCAGTGGTGGTATTCATGGGACTCCTCTCCTCTGTCTAGATGCTATTTTCATGAAACGTGTTGCAACTGCATGTCCCTGAGATGGCCTATCCCTCTATCAGGTGGAATTGGCCAAGAAATCCCACAGTTACTAAAGAAAAATTGGCTGCCCATGCAATGGCATGAGCTCTGTTTCCTTTGGAAGCCAAGCTGAGCTGGAGCTGGCAGGAACAGAGCTCCAGCCCCGGGCTTCCAGCCACAGCCACCTTTTCTATTTGTTCCTGACAGTAGGTGAGAAGTAAGCAAACCACTCATTTTAACTCTCATGCCTCCTCAGATTTAAAAAATGTAGAGTGCTTTTAACTTCATGATCCATTATGGACCTCTCAGTGTGGGGAATAGGTTATTCCTCCAGATCTCTCCTTATCAGATGCCTTCACATATTTCATATTTGTTTGTCCAAGCATTTGTAAGATATTTAGAGCAGTAAACCACTTTTTGTGAGGATGAATGTTAATTACCACTTAGAAATGCTTCGGCCTTGCATGTCCACCCCATCATCAGGCAGCAAGCCAAAAAGCAGGTAGGACCATACTAAGGCAATGATCCTACTTGTGGTACTTGACATAACTTGTCTGGACGCAGCCTTTATGTCTTCACATTGCATCGCCTGTTTCACCTTCGGGGAGCAGAATGCTTTGAGGGATTTGCAATCTCATTTAGGTACAGACTTAATTACCTAAAGAAAGAATTCTGCTTCAAGAACTCTCCTGGCCCACTTAAAAAGCAGCTATTATTCATGTGGTGGTTTAGTTTCAACTGCAAATCTCCGTGCGTATCTCCTGAAAAAGACCAAAGAGATGTTCAAATTAGCTCCTCCAGAGTGATGGCATGGACCATGGGATGGCTGGAGCCCCCAGATAGTTACTTGAAGACATGATTGCTCTACTCCTGGTACTAACTTCAGCATGTCTTCGGTCACCTCCATAGCTCAGTGTATGTGCGACTCCAGGGCAGGCAGTGGTCTTTTTAACCTTTTTATCATTTTATATAGAATCATAGTATCATTTAGATTGGAAAAGACCTTTAAGATCATCAAATCCAACCGTAAACATTTTATATAACCCTCTTGAACCACAACAGGCTGCTATGTCACAACCCTTTCAGGTTTGCTTACCCCTCAAGTACCTGCTGGGTATTAAAGATACCTCCCAGAGCCATGGCAATGATACCACAGTCTTATTTGCACGATCTTTCCAAAGCATTTCACATTTGGTGTAATAATCTTTGAAGACTGCCTGCTCCTCAGGTCTCATATCTATCGCAAGAGCTTACACAATCCCATCAGAGAGGAAAAACAACACTCTGGGAGCTGAGGATGGCTCACAGGCGGCATGAGCAACAAGTATTCCTTGGCTCACTGGAAAGGACAACCCTGAAGAGGACTGCTGATATGGGAAGTAGAATAGGACCTGCTTAAGTGCTACTTAAACTGTATCTAGAAAATATAAGTGGGACTTAAATGATGAACGTACTTTGCGCACAGTAATGAATTTTACCCCTTGTGACCAGCTGACAATCAGAATAAACGTGGTTCCACAAGAAGATGAATGCTTAGGAGCAATGAACAGTTTGATGACAAATTGCAGCCTATTTGCAGAGAATTTGTGAATTTTTATGTACAAAATTAATTTATTAAATTATCTGGAATGAGTCACTTGAACGGCCCCTAGGCTAAAGGATTATTTTCAGAATCAAAGCTATACATCCACTTAAGGTCCATGTACAGTGCATGTAGCTAATGTGCTGAAGCTCTTCATTGCTTGAGCTCTGTTGCCTCTTTCTTCTAGGTGGGCGAAGCAGTCCTTGAAAATGCTCGTCTTATGCTGCACACCGAGAACATTCAAGCCTGTGCTGAAGATTTTAAAGACAGGTAGTCTTGTGGTGGCACCTAGCTGGCCACCTCCTTTGAACTTTGCCTTGGCAAGCGCTTACTCGATAGGGGAGTAATGCTTAGTGAATAGAATAGGCTCATTCTTTTAAGTTGAATATTCAACCACCAGACTTGGGAAGGTTTTTGTAACAGCGAAATAATTATGATGCTAACATTATTTTGGAAGATTTTGAAGATTTATAGGAACAAAAATGTGCACTAGCAAAATTACTTAAGCTATTCTTTGATATACAGACATTGATCTCTTACCGAGAGGTCAGTATTCGTTCAAATTTGGGTCGGCATTTTATAAAGGCATACATTCATGTGATTATTAGTTTTAATTTGCAGTGCCACACAAAAGCTTTTGGAAGTAAAAATCATTCTACTGCAGCAGCTGAAAAGCAAAAACTACCACTGCAAACGTCAGTGTGGAAACTTTAGATAAGAAAACAGAAATGGGCTGCACTGATTTTCCTTGCCTTTACTGAGAGCAATGAATAGTAAAAGAAGATCTTAAATACCAAAAAACTATTTTTTAAACATCTTTCCATTTGCAAAGCCTAATATTCATGTACCTGAGGGCATGAAGCTCTTCAAATTTTACTTAGAAGGCCTGATGATCCTTCTAGCTTTTATTTGTAATGGACTTGGTTCATTTACAAATAGCTTTTTGCAAGATCTGACACACAAACTGTATTTCAAACTAATTGATTTTTACTTCCTATGGTTTTTATCAGCCCTTAAAACTTCTGTCTCTCCCTGGTGTTATTTTATTTAATTGTATCAAAACATACTAATTATGATCTTAGGTTTGTCTTTTATTTCAGAAAGGTACAACTCTGAGCTACTCATTTTGTGGCTTTACATCCAGCAAGCTACACTCATATTTTAAGTAATTTTAAAAAGCATGTTTTAAAAATGTCACCTAACTTGGACAAGCGGTCTACATAACAAAAACAATGTCAAATCTATCCACAGCAGAGTCAAAGCTCCTAGTTCTCACTGGGATCAGCTGCCTCTTTCCCAGGCTGTTGAACTCCCAGGAACAAAGGTGGCTCTCAAGGGGCAGAGTGCAGGTCTTGTTTATGAAGCTGGCTCCTATCCAACCTGCCAACCCCCCTGTGTAACCTCCCTGGCCACCAGGTTCCCAGGTTGGATGGGTTTGACACAAAGGCTTCCCACCCAAGGACATTCGCCATGCAACGCAGCCACATTTTCAATGGAAAGCCTAAAATGGAAAGGTACAAACGAGAGTAATGCAGCAAGCAGCACTGTAGAATAGCAACTGCCTGCCACAATTTTTCCCTACCATTGCAGCCACAGTTTAGAAACTAGCCATTTGCTTTAACAGCAATTCTAGTTGACAAACCAACCGCTCAAATTTCCTATTTATTTTGATACTACTAGGATGTGGTCTTAAGGATGGGCTGGGACCCTGGAACATAGATCAGACTTCCATCAGCATGTTCATCAGTAAACGTAATGCTTGATGCACGTGTGTTTTCTTTAACTATAGCTCTGAAAAGTTTTTATGTAGATGAATGAACAGTTATTCTCATTTTACAGCCAAGCAAACAGAGAGAAAGCCACCCATAGTCATACTGTATATAAATACCAGATCTAGCAAGAGACCACGTGCCTCTTCGTGCTTATTCAGGAATCCTATCAGGCTGATAACCACCGTAGCGCAGACTGCTAACTTGGCCTCTTTTATTACACTCTGAGTTAATGACAGCATATTTCAGGCGGTTAAATTCAAGTATAGAGAGACAAGGTGAGAGCAAAGTATATCTTCTGTGTTTCTGTGCCTCTGTCTGGGACACATGAGCTAATTAGCACAAATGGCGTCATTTTTTTAAAAAAGCAGGTTTTTCTTGCTGAGCTGTGCTGTATTAAGGTTTGGTGGTTGTTTTTTTTTTTCTCTGCAGGTATGAAAATGAGCAGCCATTCAGAAAGGCAGTGGAAGACGAAATTAATTCCCTATATAAAGTGATTGATGATGCTCATTTAACTAAAATGGATCTGGAGAGTCAGATAGAGAGCATGAAAGAAGAACTAACTTTGCTGTCAAAGAATCACGAAGAAGTAAGTCCAGACTCGGGACACTGCAAAGCCAATGTGAGCCTGTTTCACCCAGTTGGTATCATACATCTAGTGCAAAGCAAGCACTGAAAAGCTCCACCTGCCACATCTGGGTCGGGGGATTGTCCTGAAAACTGCTCCTATTTCTCTCTTCTCTGTTAACTTAAAGCACTAACCTCTGAGGCATGATCAAACTACTTACATTTAAGTTTTAACTCTTTCTTGTCTGATAAATATGACATGGAAGAGATGTCATCACTTTATTTCTTGCTAGACACCACGTGATGGTCACAGGGTTGCACAGTCACATGTGTGGGCATCTCAACAGTGAGGTCTGATCCTCAGCTAGAGATGTAAAGAGAAAATGCCTGTGCAGGGAACAAGCTCTGGTCCTGCTGCACTAACACTGAGCACCAAATGGGCTCTTCTGAAAAACTCCTGCTTGGCTTAGCAAGCTGCACGGTTCCCGAAACGGAGTCTCTCCTGAGCAACATGCCACTGAAGCAAGCCACAGAGACAGGGAGCTGGAAGGGGAGCCCATTATTACCCAGTTTTGCAATACTTTCCCACTTACTCATTACATTCACCAGCACTATTTGCATGAAGGTGGTTTATTCCCTTCAGCAGGGGTTTCAGGATCGGACCCAAATCAGCATCTTTACTTATGGGTGCTCAAATATGGAGCTACTACTGATCCCACATAAAGGACAGCAGGTAATTGTGCTGATGCCTCAAAAGTAAAAGAGAGCTTGAATTGAGATGGCTCACGGAAGCAAGGCACTATCCTACCTTATATTTCTTATGGGTTATTTCTCCAACCACAAGATTTCAGCAACATTGGCAGGCATATGGAGACTTGGGTTGCCAAGATGAGGTTGCTTCATCCCCTCCCTAGTTTCATGAGTCTAATCCCAAGGCTGGCATTTTGCAGAAAATAATCAGTGGTTTCAGCATCACTGCATGGCATGAGAAAGAAGGAAGTTGTTTTAGATAAGAGGGAAAACAGAAAATTACTGGAAATACACAAGATCCCCTTTAAACCTCTGTGTATTGCAATGATTGCTGTGAAACCAGAAAATTTGGACTGATGCTGTTCGCCGCCCATATATATGGCCTAACCAGAACAACAGCTTCCCAACAGCTCCTCTCACTCTGCATTTAGCCAGCAAGGAGCCCTTGCAGGGCGGAAGGATGCTCCCTTTCTTTAGCCGTTGGGAGTGTCTGAGCATTCGTAGAACCACCCCAGCACAGACCCGGTTTTCTCATGGCAGTGGCACCAGGGGAAGTTGCTCAAGACAAGTCACAGAATAAAGGCTGGTAGCAACTATTGCAATTACTCCAGCTGAGCTCTGGGACAATAAAGTCCCAAGGACTTTCCTGAACTAATTCAAACTTTTCTTTCCTCCAGTGCCCCCACTAGGAAATCCATGTCAAGTCCTTTTGAAGCTTTTGTGCACTTGGAGTGGGCACATTCTGAGGCTTTCATTCTTGCAGGTTCATAATTCACATACACTTGCCTATCCTTTTCTTCCAGTACTGTCACTGTCAGGGCCCACTGCCTACAAATACAATTCCCAGATGCTTTTACACCACTTTTGCTTATGTCACTAGCACATATAAACAGACTGATGTAAAAGGATTGTGGTGCCAGACAGTTCAGATACATGTGCAAATCTCATTTATTCTTGTGTTCCTGAACACAGTGTACAACTGATGCGCTACTTTTAAGCATGCAATTCTAGACACACTAATTCTCTCCTGCTTACATGTTTTTGGAGTGTTTATATGTAAAGAAAGAATAGAATGCTGTCACAGAGAAGGAGAGTGCTCTTCATCTAACGTGTACATTCATAAAAGCACACGTGGCTCACACAAGCTGCGAGGCTATAGAGCTCCTGCTGTTTTGCACAACTTGTTGTATCTCCCAGTAGATGCATGTCAATGTTATTGCATAGTGCAGTATAGTTGTGGTCCTGGATGTGCAGTGTATGTCAAGCTCTGACTGCTGGAGAAACTGGCCACTGCAAGAGAACTGCTCCAGGCAGTGCCCTGGTGCAGGGCTTCAGCCTCCTTCCACCAAAGGGAACTCCAGCAAGACTCCCCATGCAGAAGAAAGGCAAATTCACATCTGAAAAAGAAAACCCTCCAGTGCACTAAATCATTCATGTAGAGATACCTTTCAGGACCAAATTTAATTACTCTCTCAGTTTGTGGAACCAAAAGAGCTCTTCCTTGAGCCCCTGCAAAAGCCACCATTCAGTTGTCCAGTTCACCTTTTACGTCTGTTATTTTTGTTCAAGGATGTAAAGGTGTTATACAAGCAGCTTGCTGGATCTCAGCTGGAAGAACTTGATGTTCCCCCAGGAAGTGGCTTGGACGACATACTGGAAAAAATCAGAATCCACTGGGAGAGAGACATTGAAAAGAATCGTGCTGAGGCAGGTGCCCTGCTCCGTACCAAGGTAAGCACTCTGTAACTCACTCCAACATTAAGGGATTCAAAGCAAATGCAAAATCTGTCTAATACTCTGCAGTAACTTTGAGGGCTGAATGTTTGTTTTTTTCTTGAAACAAAAACGATGGTAAAAATCTAAAGGATTTTGGTCCAAGTACATTGGAAAATACACTCATAAATAACAGTGACTTTCTTGGGATGCACAGAGTTAAGTAGCAGTGGAAGTGACCCTGGTAATATCACAGGTATCTGTGGGAGACTTCTAAGGGCTCTGAAATGTTGGCTGAGAAAAACAAACTTAATCAGTTGATACATTCTGTGTCGGGTAAGCCACAGTCGTTACCCTTCTTACTAGGGCAGTTCCTCCACTGAACAATTTACAGGGGTCTATGAATCAAAAGGGCAAAATAGACTGCTCTAATTATACAGCTACAGACTCCTTGTGGGTTTCTCCTTGAAATTGTTTCCTTTGGCAGTGGTGGGAAAATTGGATCTTAACTTAGAAATGAAAAGTGATGATAATAGCCATTCCCTTTAAAAGTTCTCTCCTGATGCTGAGTCTGAAAGAGCCTTTTAATGCAGCTTTTTCTCTGTCACGAAGGATCACTCATTTTCCAAAGTGGCTGGCTGAAATAAGTATTTTTGTAGAGCTGAAGCATTAAGTTCAGTGCATGATCCTATATTTTAGAAGCCATCTAATTCTGAGTTGGCTTTTACAACAGACCATGGCACACCAAATCGTAACTACAACTGTGCTATAGAAATATTTAGCAAAAAAATACCCCCCCCCAGTTCCATGGTACAGAGCTGCTATGAGAGGGGTAGAGGGTAGTAAAGTCAAACTGCAAGAAGAAAAGCACGAAATATGTTTGCAAAGGTATATCCAAGCTCTGAGTAGGTGTTTATTTTCAAAATAAAGAAGAAAAATCCTGTGACAACAGTGATACCAAAGGTGCTAGGAAATGCACAAGAAGACAACCAGAGGAGTTTATCCCAGAGATCCCATCAAGTTTGTGAGCAGGCCAGACTGTTACTAAGCAAAGTTTTCATAAGGCTGGTCTGCGGGGGCCTGATTTTCAGCTTGTACAGCCCAAAGGAAGTCAGTGACACAGTAAAAAACTACATGAGCCCAGAGAGCGCCTCCATACAAAGCATATGCAGCCCCGAAAAGCCAAAGCATCCTCAGTAGCCTCCTAAGATTTTTCCCAGAAAATCTGTTCCTGGCCCACTGCCGGGTTTCTGCAAAATGAGCATTACTCTGATGGCACCAAATTCTTCAGTGTCCCCAGTTCCCTGTCCTGCTTGTTCTTGCTCCTCCTCCTGCGCAAACACACCCTCACAATTTCTTTCTTCCCATTTATTTCATACCTTCAATATCTGGTCTTTCAACTGCAGAGAGATATTATTTGGGAAGAAAACTGCCAGTTCATACTAGGCTGATCATTGGATCCCACTATCATGTCTTTGGTCATGGCCAGCACCAGACACTGCAGAGAAATGCCAATAAGCAGAAATAACCTAACCCATCCCAACTTAGCCATCTTAGTCTAAGCTCTTACTAGTTTAAGTTGTTCCTGTTCTGGTTTGATTTTTTTAATGGGAGGAAGATTCAGAGTATCGCAGATTTCTGGAAAGATCGGTTTCAGTTCAGAGCAGACTCTGATATGACATTCTAGGGGTTTTTGTCCCCAAATATACCTCTCACTAAACCCAGATGATGCAGTTTTGTATCTTACACGGTTTTGTTTCTCATACAGATCTATTCAGATTATTACTATTTATACAGATAACAAGAGTTCCAATAATTATGTCCAGCCCTTTTATCAATTAAGCTTGTGGACTTATGTTGTCTTACGTGGCTAAGTTGCACCATTTGGCTACCCACACCGTGACAAATTTGTCCTTGCTCTTTTGCGACATCAGAGGAGAGAGAGCAGTTCTCTTCTCTCCTTTGCTCTTCATTACTGTTTTCTTCAGTCTTTCTTTGTGAGTTTTCCTTGGTCCCTAATGCTTTAATTTCCTTTCTCTGCACCCACTCTTTGGTGTAACTGTGACCGGTTGAGACCAAGGTATTTCAAATGGTGTCCTAGCACTGACTTAGATGTCAGGGCAGTACTTTTGTTATTTTCTGACCAATTCCCTTGCCTCATTTGCTTTGTCTTCTGACTAGACTTGCAATCTTGGCTAGATTTTTCACGGGTATTCAGGCACCAAAACATACCAATTTATATTCGTACCTAAAAGTGTTTCACATGGGATTTTTTTAGATGAGTAAGTAACCTCAAAACTCCAGTCTATTGGTTTGAGCTCTGCACTTTTTTGTCCATAATGCTCAAAACCTTTCCCTGAATTGATACAAGTAATTTAAAACCTTGGAAGGCACACAAGCCGCTTAATATTTTTCCCCCGAAACATGCTTTACTTAATGATGTGGTGCTGTTCATTCATGTAGCTTGATTCCACACATCCACCCCTGCTCATTGCTAATCTATATTGTCTTCTGTCATCCATAAATCCTTCTAGTTCATGATTCATCCCCAAGGCAGTAAACCTTGAGGCATCAAGCTGTTAAACTTCTGTCATAATGGAACTAGACCTTAATCCTCCTCTTCATGTCCTGTCTCTTGACCAGCTGTTGATCCATGGCAATGCTCTGCCCTGAGCACATGATTACACAGTTTCCTCTATCATCCCCCACACTAGATCTCGTAAAAGGTTTTGCAAAATCTTGTGAATTATATGTCAGTTGTTTCTCTCTTCTTTGCTACTTCGCTAAGATGTTCCCAGAACTCTTAAGAGCTTATCAAAGTCACTTTCCTTCTGCAGAAATCATGCCGATCAGACCCTGGATGTTGGTGTTCTATCCCTAATCATCCTTTAATTATTTTGATTCCTTGAAAAACAGACTAATGAGAGATTCTGCACTCTTGTGCAACGCCTGGCTCAGAACTATACAGACGTGCTTGAAATCCACACATTCCTAGAAAACTCAAGCACCAAAATGATAAAGATTTAGGAGGATGATTTCATCCTCTCCCTCCATTAATCCAGTTGTTTGTGGGCACCACAATTCCATATGGTCTTTCCCTTGTGGAGCATCTCAGGAATAGGGAGAGCAGAGTCCCCAGAAAACACGAGTTGCCTAGTGAAGAGGGCACAAAGACTGCATCTGCACTTCTCTACAGAGGAACCCCAAAGCTGAGGCCAAGTGTCATGCCCAGCAGCACCGTCCACATGGACTCTTGGGGCGACTCAGCTGGTAATCCTGTAAGAAAGGTGGGGAAGCCTTGGGTGCACCAAAAGCTTTAGAGCTCATTCAGCGTGTGCTTACTTGCTGGGTAATCCTCAGTATTTAGGGCCTCATGTGGCCACCTCTGTCTGCTCCATCTGCCTGTTCTGTCATTCACATCACTAACATCAGGTAGCCGTGACAGCTTAGGGTAACTCTTGGAGGAGTTTCAGCTTCACCTGTGGTGAGGACAAGTTGGATTTATAGGTAGCGTTTGGGCCACCAGCAGGGTAAATGTGAATGAGAGATGCCAGGCTTCAGGTAACAGGTGTAGGCTATAAATATAGTTGCAAAGGCACCCTCCCTGCCCTATGTATCTCTTTAAAGAGAGGCATTTATAGTCCTCATACCATAGTAACGCGCAGACTACAGTCTCAGCACAACTTAGGAGACACAAATTACTCCAGAGTGGCAGGTCCATGATCACCAGGCTGGGTTCACCAGGACTAGTGAGGTGGGATTATGTCTCTCTGAAGCACAAGCCCCTATAAAGTATTTCTGGAGAATACCTACTCTGTGCAATTTGCTGGAAAGGACAGTTTTGGTGTTTGGATTGAAATTCAGCCCTCCACAACACAGCTTCATAAATCCTAAATTCTGTTTCAGACTTAACTGGTACTTAAATGACCTTTTGCACCTGAGATTATCTCATTCACAATGACCACGGTGTGAGGTTCACATGATTGTACGAAAAAAAATTACAAAAATCATTTCTGGTGCATGGCCCCAGATTTTTTTTTAAACTTGATCTTACTTTTAAAATAAAAGACTGTATAATCAGAAAAGAAGGACAGGGTCAAGATGAATTTTCAGAGTGGAATGGAACTATTTTGTGTAGTTTAACTTTAGTATCAACCAGAAGAAATGTAGGTTTTGACTGAAGAATTGTATTTGCTAGAGAGCCCAGAGCTCTGGATTGAAAACCTTGATCTCAGCCCTCATTAAAAAGTACAGAAATTTTATTTTTACTGAGGTACCTTTTCCTTCACCTATTTTCAAGGAGCCTGAACTAAACACATATAAAAACCCTCAAGCAACAAGAGCATGAAATTGCATAAGAATATCTTCATTCAATTAACAGAGATTATTTTTCTGACCTCTGTGATATGACTCTCTGTCTCATAGAATCCTATGTGAAAAGTCAAGGTGTAAATACTTCTGAAATCCAACAGACTAAGTGAAAACACTTAACTTTTAAAAAAATATAGTATAGCTACAAAATGAGGAATTACAGCAATGTTTTCTTTTTATAGGCCATTTTAAACATACTAATACGAATGCTGAACAGCTTTTGTTGACATAGATAAAATATATACACTTATATGTATAAGCTATTTTACCATAAATGCTTAGAAAATATGATAATTTTGACACTAAGAAGTATCCAGAATTGTTCAACTGAGGGATTTAATATACAAGAATCAAACTTAAAGGCAGAGTTGCCATCAACTGTGAAAATATCAACTGTCAGTTTGGTATGTAAGGAAACTAAACCATAATTTGAGTGGTCTGTGACGACAGTCGCACTCTTTTACCAGCTACAGGCTGAAACAACGGCTGCCGTGAGAACCCAGGAGGAAGAGCTGGTGGAGGGCCTCAGAACTGAGTTCCATGAAACTGCCTGCAAAATACAGAGCTTGCAAGCAGAAACCGAATCTTTGAGAACGTTGGTAAGTAATGTTGGGTTTTCAATGGATATATTCTGTGCAGGTTCAACATGACTTCTGAGGAAAACATTCCCGTCTTGGGATGCAGGGTTAAGAATAAGTCCCATTGTCCAGCAGATACTGTTTCCAGAGATGCCAGCCATTTCTGGGCTCTTCTTGATTGACGTGGTGCACTAAGTGGACCACATTTGAAAACTGGGCCCCTAATTTCAATCTTCAGTGTCTTCATACTTTCACTTTTCATACATTTTCATACATAATTTCACTGAGATTTCTGGGTGGGTAGTACTTGACAATATGAAGAATATCTGTGCCTTGTAACCAAAGTAGTTCAACCTTTGTAATGATAATACACGTTTTTCAAAGTATCTAAAAACAGGAATTCTCAAAATATTACATCTCCACTTAAGCATATTCAATAGATATATTGGCCAAACCTGAAAAAAAAAATCACTATGAAGCATATGAAGACTGTTTTAATGTCTGCTGTCCTGCCCTTACAGAAGAGGGGTCTGGAGAACTCTTTATATGACGCCAAGCACTGGCATGACATCGAACTGCAGAACCTAGGCTCTGTCATTTCCAAGCTGGAGGCAGAGATGGGAGAAATCAAAGTAGAAACTGAGCAGCAGCAGCGGGATCGTGAAAATCTGCTGACCAGCAAGCAACAGCTGGAGAAAGACATTGCTGCATATCACTGCCTCCTGGAAGGAGAACAAAGCAGGTACTTGTCCTTAAAAGCAAGCGTGCCGTGAGGACGGAGAACACGTGCTCCCTGGGAAGGGGTTGTGAGGTTGCTGAAGGCAGGAGGACTAAGGTGGTTCTCGTGTTTCATAAGGCTGGGTGGTAGATGATGAGGTTTGGAGAAAGCGCCAAAGGGGAAGAACACCCCATATCCAGTCGTGCAGAGATTTCCGATGTATTGGAGATGGGTGGTTTCCAGTACCGCCATGGAAGGATGAGGTTTAGCAATATGCCAGTAGGTCTATGAGTTTCACTTCCCTGAAGATTTGAGATGTGAGATTAAAAAGCTACTACAGCATCTGGGGGCTACTTTAGTGGCTGCAAAGCAGCTGTGTTGTTCCTTTTTGCCTTGGGTACATTATGCCTTCCCTCCTCCTCCCACTATGCAGTCCAAATACGAAAGCTGTGATCCTGGGGAAGCTCCCTTTCTAAGCACACAAGTTCTCCCCGAAGTCTGAGGACAGAATCCGGCCCATTGACTTTACGTTTTGTGAAGAAACATAGTTCAGACTCTTAACATTTGTCCTCTGGGAATAGCCTGCAAATGCCTTTACAGTGGTTGGGTTGCTTGGTTGGGCTTTTTTAAGATCCTTAATCACCATTATTAGTCGTGGAACCTCTGAGAATCTGATCCATGGATTTTAACTTGCTCTTCTGCTCAGGTCAGGGAGAATTTTTTTTATAATCAGATCCTGCTGAAGTTGATCAGATTTCACCAGTTGAACTGAGGATAGTGCTTGGTTCAGCAATTTTCCTATTTGTAGTAGTGACCAATTTTGGTTTTTTTACTTTCAGCTGATTATGAAACTCCCAGACCACAGAAAACTGTTGCCATTAAAGCAAAAGAAGATGTCACTGCCAATTACGTTTGTGAAAGCTAAAAACCCATCAAAGCAGCCTGCTTTATTCAGTTTGATTCAACAATCAAAGTAGGTTGTAGCTTGAACAACTTTATTAGACCCTCCTCATGTAATTGCTTTGCTTACAGATTTCAATTGACTCATGTTGTTAAAATTATAATAAAAATAAAGAATGTCAAGTTTTTCGTTTGATTTTTTTTCCTTCCAGTATTTTTCATGATAGCTGAAGGGGGTTGGGTTAAGAACATAGCCCCTCCATTTTCCAGCAGGTAAACTCTTTCTTCTTATAGTACAAATATATCAAGACTGAACTACTCCTCCACTGCAGGCACAGCATCCATGTGGAAATGGTGAGCGCTCTGTTGTGTCACAAGACCATCAGCTCACTAGTGTGAAATCTAATTCAAATAATACCGAAGCAGTTGAAGTGTGCAATTAACTTGATGCAATTAATTTTGCAATTTGTAAGCCAGCATAAGCACTATGTGAGCATCCCAGTAGTACCTAATAAACATGTTTTAACTCCAGACTAAACTTCTGGAAAAGTTGAAGGTGCAGAAGAGCAACACCAGTTCTGTCTGTAGTCCAGGTCATATCCTTTCACTGTATACTAAGAGTCCTAGCCAGGGTGTCAGTTTGTGCAAATGTGATACCTTTCAATATATTGATATATTTTGATATTTGTTTTTTATATGCTTGGCTCTTTCTTGATACCAACATCTCTTAAGGCAGGTTGGCCAAACTTCTTTTGAACAGGCACCCACACAGCATCAACATGGGGGTGACCCCAGGTAGTTTCTCTTATTTTGATGGTATCATGATGAAAAAGATTTGCCACCTTTCACTTCTGACTTTCTATTTTAAATATTGATATCTTCATTGTATCGGATTTGCAGTATGGTCATATAAAGTGCCAAAACGGATCCTGCATTTTCAGAGAAACATAATGAACCTTGGCCCCTATCACAGAAAAGCTTAGCTAGATGGCTGGCTTTCCTTCAACAGTCCCTGCACAGGAATGAAGTTAACCATACATGGGTGTGTTGGATTAGTACTTTACAATATCAACAATTACACAGGGTGACAACATAGTTCATTAAGTGGGCTCAAAGACTACTGAGACATGGCATATATTAGAGAACATAATGGCATATGGCATATATGAGAGGTAGTCTGTAGATATTTTGATCTTTAATTGAAACATTAGCTAGCAAAGCTACTTTAATGACTTTTTAATGACTGATAAAAGCAAATACACTCCAAAGCCACTACACTTAATCCACCAGTAATAGGAATCAGCATGCAAGTGTTGTCATGCCTTTCCTTGCACATTTCCGCCCCCCCCCGAAAATTCTTCCTGATACAGTTATTTGACAATTCCTTGTTTAATCTCTGCAAAAAGGCCATTTAGCATGTACCACCTACAAGATTTTGATCAAAAAATGACTGGATTAAGAGAATACCCAAAAAAAACCAAAAAAGAAAGGCAGATAATGGCAAGATTCCCTTTTTTTCTCACAGAATGCAGGCTCCTCAGAGCAGCGATAATACCTTCTTACGTATCAGTGCAGAACTTAACCAACCTGAGACTCCATCAAGAATAGTGATGATGAAAGAAAATATACACAAACGGTGGTACAAGAGATGAGACAGCACAGACCCCCGGGTTGTTGTTAACTGGGCGCTGTCTAGGAATGGTCACTTTTTGACATTAGTGAAGCATAACCTCCCTATCATTCTTGATGCATAAGAGAGCACAGTTTCTCTGTGACTTGAGAAAGAAAAGGGAATTTAGAAATGATTTGTGTCTTTCTTCATAGCAGCTCCCTGACAAGTTTTCAGGTTTCTGTCTCGTGTGCTGTAATTACACAGACAGCAGCTTCTATAAATAATCAGATGAATCCTACAGCATAAAAATATACAATCTGACATCAGATCTCTTTGCTGTTTTCTAGTGATGCTTCAGGTGTGAAAAGACACTGCTGGCTATCCCACCGTGAAACTGTTCATTACAGATGTCACTGACAGAGATAAACCTGGTGAAATTATGAGTCTACAATCATACTGTGAGGTGAAAGGATTTCTAAAGTTTCTTATATGCCATTCCAAGTTTTTGTTCCAACAAAACTTGGATCGTAGGTTCAAGTGATCCAGCACATTTCATAAAAATTAAATTAGATTCCTACTGAGATGTTTATTCATTGGAATGAAAATAGTTTCTTGCAAAATCATCAAGGTATTCCAGTATGGAGAAGTGGCTGGAAAAGGAAGCATAATCTAAGCATAAATAATGAATTTCCAGCAGCTTTTCTCTCTATCCCTAGCAAAGACCAAAAACCACTGAAAAGATTATTTTTGTGAATAGTTCATCAGAAGTCAAATGTAGCACATCTGGCCCTTATAAAACAAAGAGCTTTCATATTAACTGCTAAAGGTCTTGTGAAGAAACCTCTCTCTACTTTTACACAGATTGCTGCTAGCTGCCCAGCTTGCTACACAGCCCCTCCAGCATGCCTTGCCAGCCTGAACGCTATCTCAGCATTAACAGTCTTCACCATGTGAGATGGGAAATTGAGAACAGGAGAGACTAAAGACTGTCACAACTATCTGTCAGCACTAAGGTTCATAAACTGATTTATCTTTGTATTTATCCCCTAGTCTAGCGGTTGCTGTATTAAATACACGTGAACACGTTTCCAACTGGTTTTCCTAAGAAAACCAAAACCAGAAAACGGGTTTTATTATCTCCTACTGCAGTATCTATCACACCTATATTCCCATGAAGGGATTTGTGGCATTTGCTGTTATGAAGACTCAGGATGCAGTCAGACAGTACAGATAATACAGTCTAACAGCCAGCTGCTGCATAAAAGGACATTTCTACTCCCCCTCACTTGCTATGCGTTCCCATCACACCGTCTTGTGTTAGCACCAACACCTGTCTGATGTCTCAGGAGACAGTTCAGGAAGCAAAATCAGCAGAAAACTAGCCCTGCAAACCGCAGGGAAACTTTCCTGCCACTCAGCTCCCTGAATCAGGCCACTGCAGGGTCAGACATGTACCAGTAGCAGCACAGGGATGGGAGGGGGAGAGAGACTAGTCAGGGCTGTGAGGCACAGCCACCCCCCTTGGTGATCGCTAGTCACTAGGTCGGATTAGCTGTACCGTCAAACCATATGCGTACTTCATCCTCCTCCTCAGCCAGGCACAGCTTCTTCTGCGCCACAGCTTGAACACACGCTGCTGCATCCTCAGGGGAAGCAGAGGGTGCCAGCCTTATGCTAGCCCATGCTTCATTTCAGATTTCACACTGAGTAGCAGCATACCACATCAGCTAGGAACTGGTACTCTAGCCTATCATCCTACTGTTTAATTTTAGCATAATCATTATTATACTGATTCTATGGTTAAAAGATTATTTTTAAGGTGACTTCAGGCTGGCATTGTGTAAAATCTAATACTTTAACAAAACACCATGCACTGCCTGCTTTCAGATGGCAATTGCTGGTGGAGAAATGGACACGATAATACTTCTCCCTTCTGGCTGCAGAGGTCTGAAATTACAGCAAACTCTTAGCACCCCAAAGCTGCCAGGGAGGTTAGGCTCCTAAAGAGAACCGGCACCCATGCTGTGGAAAGGACTCCCCCAGAACCCTTCTGCAAGCTGCTCTACACCTAAGGGCATCTTCTCCAATTTCCTTAAGCAGGTGTCTGCCTAAGAGTTATCAAATTAAGTGTTCTGCTTGCACTCTGCAAATGTCAAAGCAGTTTGCAGAGCAATCACCTCCCTGTCGCAGAATGGAGACAATTAGGTGTGAAGAAGTAAGGGTAAGACCAAACACTGGGTGACTGGAAATGGAAGTCTGCTCCTAACTCTTGCATCACCCCCAACTTGCTTCGGCTTTCCTTCAGTTTCTCCACATGAATAGCAGCTGCTGCATCACTTCCCCTACATGCAGTAGTGCTTCGTTCCTCAGCCTTTATAAAATGCACAGAGAACAGCATAATGGCAAGGCTCGTCATAGCTACGGGACGGAGACGAGAAGTGGACAGGCACCGCTGTATGCCACGACAGGCACACTGCAGCGTGCACTGCTAACGTGCTGGGGGGAAAGAGAC